CACTCTGTCTCTCTTTCATTCTGTTCTTGCCTTCTCTCTAACCCCCCCCTCCCCCTTCACCTCCCCACACAAAGATATATTGTCTTTGTGTTCCTATACTGGCAATATTTTAAAGATATCTGCTTATTCTCGTCATCCTAGTCTTAATAAAGTATCTAATGCTCTTTATACAGTGTAGTGTTTTTTACACATTTAGTCAAATTTAATAATATTCCATTACGCAACTTTTGGTTATTTATTCTACTCTGTATTTTGATTTTGAATTATGTTATATTTAAGATATGATCAGATGAACTTTTCCTATACTCTATTGTACCGTATTATATTATGTTCTTTTTAGATGTCGCCCATTACCTTTTTTCAAATATAAATTCCATCCATACAGGGAATTTTATAGCTCAATATGAAATTTTTGGTAGGGTTTTGGCTCAAATTGGATTTTGAAATAAATTTCTCACCTGCTTGATACTGGTTCCCCAATGATATTTTTGGTTTGAATCTCAAAACTTTTTTTGTGTGGAGCTTGCAAAGTTCTTCAGATTTTTGGTGACTTTGGATCTTGTCCAGCTGAATAACTAGAAAAGCTACTGTGCATAGGGATTGCGATGGCTGTTAAATGTAAGACTGGTATAAGATTGGATTTAGACCCTGGGGTAAAGCAGTTGCACTGCAGTTGTTTGCTTCTGCTGATAAAGCTTATGAGTTTTGTGGGGGTTTTTTGTTTTTCAATTATTAATTTTTTTCTCAAACGTTTACTTGCTTTTGCAAGATTCTGCCATGGGCTAAGAGAGCGATGATAAAATCCATGACGTGTCAGTGAACTGGAACAAACTGATTGGTTTTTGTAAGTTGTTGATGTCAGGTTTTCATTGAATGTTGCAGAATAGTTTTTCCATTTTATGTTAACTCGAATCTCAAGACTTCTCATGTAAGCTGTCCTGTTTTTTGGGGGTTTTTTTTGGGGCTGTTTTGTTTTTTGTAGGTTGACTTATTTTTTGGCAACCTTCCGCACATGGCCAAGTAATTTTTTTTTTTTTACCATTTTGATACTTTGGAAGACTTTGTGAAGATTTTGACAAAATCGGTTGAAGCATTGATATTATTGATTACAAAGTAAATTTTGAAATTTCTTCAGCATAACTCAACTGGTGTCCAACGACATTTTTCAGTGTTGGATTTTGTGTCTGTGCATTGGTGGATGTCTGTTTGAGGAATAAGATCTGTCTGGAATTTGTCCCGGCGTGGGTCCTGCAGCGAAAATGTTTTTCAGTTGCTCGTTCTCTTCCTGCTTTTGTGGTCGCCATCGTCGCTGTGTAGCTAGCATACTGTGTGTGTCTCTGTGTTTCTGTATACACCCACCACCACCACCTGTCTTGCCTGGCCTTTTTCAGCTTGCTGGAGATGATGTTGTTCCCCTGCCCCTGCTGCTGCCAGTATTTTCCTTGTGCATTTTTTACAGCGCTTTTGATATTTATTTCTTCTGTGGGTGCAGAAGCAGCTGTCTGCGTCTGCCTGTGTTATGACGAGGCTGTCTCTCTGCACTTGTTCGTTTTTTTCTTCTCGTGTCTTGCCATGTTTCTGATCCAACTATTTTTGTACGGACTTTAGCGGTTTTATCGGTTTTTTAACAACATTTCTGCTGTAATGCTGACACTACACCAACAAAACACTTTTTCTTCATCGATGATGATCCTGATGATGATGATGATCACCCCATTTTTTTGTCAAGACTCAGGAGTGAACCTGTACGCTTGAAAATTTTACAATGCCGAAGGCCTTGACTTTTGATTGTGTGCTCGTATCATTTAAACTGTCTATTTGTATTTCACTCAGTTGCAGGTTGTGTGGATATAGCAGTTGTTACAACCAGTACTTAGGTTTTTTTTGGTGGCAGGGAACTCTGGGTTGAGAAATCATGTTTTTCCAGTTACCGCAAAGAAAAAAAGTAGCTGCTTCTGGTTGAGCTGATTTCATCTGCAGGCATAAAGGCTTGGTATTGCTTTTTGGGGATTCTGAAAAATCACAGGAAGTCCGAGAATTTCCGATTCAATCAGGCTGGTTGGATAGTTGGATTTGCCTGTATGCAGACAAAATACTTGATAAATAATACATTTCATTCTACTTGAAGTTCCCAGAATCTTCTGTTTAAAGTTAATAAAGCCCTATTCACGTGGTATTTTCCTCCCAAGTAAAAAGCTCACCCCTTGGACTGAGTGAATTAACAAAAGACGTTGATCTATTCGCCCTCAAAAGGTTCTGTTATTGACCTGAATTTGGTTCTATTTTTGATAGCCCAAAGCGTGCGTTGTGGGTCTCTCATAACATCATTGGTCTTCTCAGGCAGCCTGACAGCACACATCTTTTCCTCCTCCTCCTACATCTTTGGCTTCTCCTCATGTTTTCAACACATGCCACATCTTTCTCAAGGGTTCCTGGGATTTTATTCTTTAATTTACACATTTTCTCCTGCCTTTACTCATTTTCTCCTGCCTGAACCCGCCCCCTTGATCATGTAAATTGTGTGGATTGGGGCTTTAAGCATTAAGAATAAAAGGTTATCTATCCAAAGATTCCAGTATCTTTTTCTGTTTCTGGTTGCTTAGACTTACAGAAACTGCAGTGTTCAGTAATCCAGCATAGGTAAGCGTCACTGGTGTGGACACTTTTTGGGAAGTTGGTACAGAAACTTTTAAAAAAAGAATAGTATTTATTTATGAGACTCAACTGAGTTCGAAGCTCTTGAAAGTAAAGACCCAATTTTTGTAATAATAAAAGTTGCAACCTGACTCTGTTTCAAAATTTTTGGGTCAGGTTTTTCAGTATGTCTGTTCATTTTTATATTTGTGATTGAGGTTGATCACTACATTCTTCCAAGTCTGATAAGAAACGTGCAGTTTTTGGTGCCATTGTGTGTCTTCGGAACAGCCCCCCACCCTCCTTCCTCTCTCCTCCTTTCTGCCACGTTTCCTATTCTTTTTTTATTTTTATTTTTTACCTCTGAACATTTCTGCTTTTTTAAAGCCTTTGGGATTTCCCCGTTCATCAAAGATGAGAGATTGTAGCTGTATAACAGTGTTGATTTTCAACTGTCATTTCGTCGATCAGTGGGGGTGGGGCGAGATGGGAGTCTTTCTGCCAGTTTCTGGCGTCCGTTAAAAAATTGGTAAAAGTGAAAGACATTTTGAAATAGGTCAATTTCAGGCGCTTCAACATCCAATTAGAAGACGTGAGTTCGATTTCCAAATGAGAAATTTTGTCCGAGATCGTTCTCGCTCATTTTACAACGACGTAATGCATATTGCGTAACCTGGGTTGGACATGACAAGTTACATTTAGGCTGAGGAATTGAAGATTGCAAATTTTACCAGACCAGTATAAAGTAAAATAAAATAAATGTCTTAATAAATGCCTTACACGTTGTAAGGGGTTCCTCTACTCCCACCGTCATCACTTCCGCCTCCCCTCCCCCCCTCTCTCTCTCTCCTC